CAAGGAACCTCTACATCAAAGAAAGGGTTATAGCCTTTTGTCTTATCAACACAAGCCCACGTCTATTATCGGAACATAGGAAAAAAGATAGCATTGAGTATTTCTGACAATAAAATCGGGCTATATGGCATAGAGAACATTCCTTCTGAAAGATACTGAAGTCTTCTACTTTATTACTGCATTAATCCAAATTGCATATCAGCTATGCAATTTATGGTCATCCTCAATATGGAATATTACTCAGTCACTAAAAAGAATTGAGTGAGCTATACCCATTAGTTTTCCAAGTGAGAAAAAAACAGGTAGGAGAGAGGTGTTTATAATGTAATCTTCTATTAATGATTTGAACATGATGATATAAACGAAGAATATGAAGAATACATAACAGGTAATTAAAATGAATTGCCTAGCTGAGGATGTGAATCAGGACAACAGAAATAAATGTGCAAGGAAATGGCAACCAAGCCAAGAGAAAAGAAGACAAACATTGTACCTTAAAACATGTGATATGCATGCATTTCACATTGCATATGCATGTAGAAAAGACATATCAACATCCCATGTTAAAAAAACATGTCATCCCCAAGAGAATATAAACAGGATACTGCCCTCCCACTATATATATGAGTTTATGGCCACAGAATGGTGGAACTTTCTATCTGAGAGTGTGAGCCAGTTCCTGAGTTCCCATAGGGGAGTAGAAGGAGCTGGGGCTTTCACTTTGAAGACTGACTTTGCAATTTTCTAGCTACGTGACATTGAGTACTTTTCACATGGAAAAATGAGGATAGAATTGCATATGTTACTGTGAGAATTAAGTGAGATCATGCAATGTAATAATGGATCAATGTAATCTGTATCAACTTTCAGGAAGTAATCTTCTCCCCCCGCCACCCTTAAATGCCTTCTCTAGGTTATTTCTCTCATATCTGTAATCTAAAACCTAGAAGTTTTAAGTTCATGACAATTTCACAATGACTCCTACTAAGTGCTCTGTTATCTTGTATACTCTGTGCTATAGCTCTAGTAGATTGGGGAAATAATAAGGACCAGATTGATCAGAGAGGCTTCATAGAGGGAGGTTTTGAATGATGGGTAGAATTTGCATGGGAGAAGACATTCCAAGTAAAGGAAACACCTGAACAATGGGTACTCTTTCTGGATCCATAATTTGTGTTTTCTTCAAAGATTTCATGTTGGAGAAATTAGAGAATAATGTTGATCTATAGAAAAGACTCTTACTGTGTAAGGCATCAAAGATAGGTATAAGCTAAATTGAATATGTAGAAAATTAAGAAATGCAGAGTTATTGTCTAATTTTAGGGGAGTGGCATTGAATTGAAAGGGACTGAAGAAATGATGTTAGCAAATTAGTAAATATCATTGTTGGTTATGCCTAGCATGTAGATGTGGAGTATTTGCTCACTGTTCAAATCATTAATAGAATTCAAAGTATTGAATTCTTTGATTGGGTCTCTTGAGATTCTATAATTTCCTTTCATCCCCATTTATTTACCAAGAAAAGATGAGTTTGTAAATTAATATAACAGAATTTGTGATTTGTTTTAGGGATTGAGGAGATTGAGTCTAAAATCCTAATATTCGTCTCACTATCAAACAGGGAAGTGAGTGGTACATGAGGAATAACAGCCAAATGGAAAATAAATCACACTATTAGTGGTTTGGTAAGCTTCTTACAAATCCCCAAAGATCTTTCCTGGAAAAACTGAGTTGTAGCCATAGGCTACCTTGGTAGCCTAATTCCTCTGTCTGCTGTACTTCATCAAATTGAGGTTGCTGGGCCATCTCTTCCACTGAACTCCTTAACAGTTAGAGACAAGCACAGAGAGCTTTACCTGAGAAAGCCAGTTCACTGAATGGGTTTCCAGTGTGGAATACCTAAAGCAAAAGCCAGACTGTCCAGAGGGTCCAGACCCTCCTATCAGTCGTGTTACCATAAGGCAGCAGAAGGCTGTAACATTGATTCAGGAAGCAAAAAAGAGAAAAGGTACCTGCCATTAATGAAGAACAAAATTAGTTATAATGAATGTCCTGAGCATGACGTAGTAATTGCAATTCATTGTGATGAATATTAAAATAGGTTAAGTGCTAGATAAAGTGGTGACACAAACATGGAAGTGATTAATTCCTTGTATGAGTCCAGGAAGGCTTCATAGAGAAAGACACATTAGGGATAACTAAATGTTTGTCAGGGTAGTGATGGTAACAAGGAGGAAATTCCAGGAATTGGGCATTTGGTAAACCATGGTAAGTTTTGGGAAAGAGAAACAGTTTGGTGTGACGGAAGACATTTTTATAGGGAAAAGGTGAAAACTGGGGCGGTAAGCCGATACGAGAAGGTCTGAAATCTCATTGTTGGAGGAAGTCATCAAGAAGACTTGACATCTGATTGACCTGCAAGCTAGACCTGGGCAATTGTAGGCTCCTTACCCCTTCGCAGTCCTTGGAATGTGCGTTCTGCTTGTCTTCACTGCTCCCAGAAGCTGCCTCAACATTGCAGCCTTGAGATAGGAATGTGGTGTTGAGACTATCTGGATGGTACATGTGACTGAATCCAGGTAGGGCCTCTATATAAACTTTTAAGATTTGGTGGGTAGGTGTGGAGATCTACTCATTTGTGGCCATCTGAGACAAATCTCCTAGACAAGTCTTCTTGCTTATTGAAACTGCCACCTCCCAATCTGGAGTGGCCTGCCTCTTTCTTCCGTCTCTCCCTGTCCTCCACATATGGGGGCTGGTTTCATAATATACCCAGGAAGCTCCCAAGGAGGTTGCAAACAGCATGCTAAAGAATACAAGCTTTATCCAATGATATCTATGGGACGGTTGATAAAAAGAAGATCCAAAGTTAAGGTCTGTCCTAATGTATGAATAGTTGCTTGTCTCTAAAGATGTTATTACATAATTCCATAATATTCCCTATGGTAGCTATAATTACAAAAAAATTATCAATAAACTTATGAAAAATTATCAACAAACTTGGTGGCTTAAGATAATATACATTTATTATCTCACAGTTCTGGAAGTTAGAAGTCCAAAATGGGTCTTCCCAGGCTAAAATAAAGGTATCAGCATGGCTAACTTCCTTCTAGAGGCTCTAGGGAAGAATCCGTTTCCTTGCCTTTCTCAGCTTCTAGAAGCTGCCGGCATTCCTTGGCTTATGGACTGCTTCTGTCTTCAAAGCCAGCAATGGCTGGTCCAAATGTCTCAGGCTGTATCACCCTGACATGTTCCCTTTTCTCCCTCCCTCCCTCCTTCATCTATAAGGCCCCTTGTGGTGACATTGGACCTGCCCAGATAATCCAGGATAATCTCCCCATGTCAAGGTCAGCTGATTAGCAACCTTAATTCTCCTCACCATGTAACCTAAACTAATGGTAGCAGTCACAGATTCTGAAGATTAGGGCGTGGAAGTGTTGGGAGGGCTATTATTCTGCATACCATACATCATTTGTATATATCGATTGAGCAGATTTGTTTTCAATATCACGTTCTTATGACACTTTCTATAATGACAATGATAATAATGGGCCATAGGCTTAGCATATAAGAGATCAGAAGATATAATGAAAATTTATCATGGATTCTCTAAAAATTTATAGGCATACTGGCAGGTAGCTCATCTTTCTTGAGAAAACGACTTGGCAAAGCAGTAGCTGCATTCTTTTAGATAACATTTTATTTGTTAGAGCAAGTTTTGACAGACTTCATTTTAATAGCTGGAGAAATTAATTTAAAATCACAGCATTTAGTGTATTGGCATACTTCTATAGGTAGGTGCAGACAATACATATTTTTGAAATAAAATCACTGCTTCTACCTTTTAATGAGAAGATTTGAGGATAGACAGAAGCCATACATTTAAGCAGATATGCTTTAATAGATAGTAGAAAACTGTCAGAAAATAGATCCACTGTGAACATTTCTACAGTTCTCAGTGATTTCTTTGTTATAAATAACATTTTTAAATGTGTACTTTTCTGAACAGAAAAAAATAGCAATTCACTTTCTGAATACTTTCATATTTACAATGCCCTTTTAAAAATAGTAAAAGGGACTATTGTGATGTGAACTATAATATTTTTAAAATTAAAAGAAATGAACTCAAATATACTAGCCTAATGAGATAACAATATTTTTCACTAACTGAAAGGTTGTAGAATAGAATACCTGAGCTTTATATATACACTATTTTTACATTTGCAGCCATGAACAATATTATAATTTGGCACATTTATGTATTACTAATTAAGCATTTGAAATTATAATCTATGAAATAAGTATAGAAACAGCATATACCCATTATGACGTTAACCTAAAAAACAGAATATAATTGTCATTTTATTTGTGAAGTGTTGTGTCTTTTTTAGAATATTAGGAAAGAAAATGGATATAACAAACATAAGTCTAAGTTGTTTTAGTAGAAGTTTAAGTTCAGAATAATTCACACAATGGCAAAATATGTTCATTCATATTTTATCTATAATTTCTCATTTAGCTTTCAAAAAAACCAAGTTTACTCAAAATATATCTCATGGTTATAATAGCCATTTCTTTTTTCCTGCTTTACATTCTGCCCCTTCATTCTCTCATATTCCACGTTCTGTAACAGAGCTCATTACCAAGGTGATAAGGGACTAGTTTCAAAGGCAACATGTCACAAAAATAGCAATCCAGTCGTTTCCTTCAGGACATTCATATATTTCTTGTGTTAGAAGGAAAACCTTTCCTTGGGCGCAGTGATATCACTCCTGAGAAATCAATTACTTTTCACATATCTGCAATACTATTTTGACATAACTATGTCGTGTAGGAAAGCAAACTACAGTTATATGGTACATAATTATGGTATCTTATCTACAGTTTCTACACTGTAAACAGAAAAACTGATTTAAAATAGTTGATTAGTAATTAATAATTGGATAATTGGTTCAAGTCATTTTTATACATTGGCTATCCTCCATAGCTTGGCTTTTTTGTGTGTAGCAACAGTTATCCATAGTTCTCTATTTTTATCTTAAGCATCCAAAACAACAAGGGACATTTTTGAACAATCTATAATATTCTTCTTGGATCTAAAAAAGAAAAGGAAAAAAAAAGAAATGGTAAACATAATTGCAACAATCACATCGAATTATTTTCAAATCACATTGTTATATTTGGTTTTCAAAAGTATTGTTTTCTCATCATCTGTCAGAATATGTTCAAATTAATAGAAGCTATGTTTACATTCCTAAGAACAAGTTTTGTTTGAAAGTCTATTTCCATATGAACAGCTAGGTGTTCTGATTTGATACTAAAGTGTACTGTATTGAGGCTATAAAGACTCAACATAAATCTGTGAGAATAAGAATTTTTATCAATTTGGTAACTGAGGCTACATGAATATGCTGTAGGGTTGACCAAAATTAAAAAACAAACAAATGGGCAAAAATAAAATAAAATTGCTTACTTTTCTAGATAAGACACACAGGAATAAGAAAATGAACATCCCCTGGAAGGCATTGCTGACGGTGAAGAGGTAAGCTGTTACCACTGATGCGTGCACAACATGGAGGACCCCAAAGATCCAGGTGGTGCCAAGGAGGAATAGGAGAGCAAGGGCTCCCCTGGCACAAGACCTAGAACATATTTGAAATGTTTCAGTTAAGAAAGCTACATATCCTCAACACACTCCTAAACTCCTCCAATTATGTGGGAAAAGAGTTTGTGGTACAATGAAGAAATCTACAAAGACCACAAGGGATTTTGAAACTGACAAATTATTCTAGCTTCACAGGATAGCCTTCTGGGTATGTTACTGCTCGGGGCAGGGATGTGCTTCCAAAATGAAGGCAACATTATTAAAATATGGTATTTTTCAAGGAATTTCCTTAATCTTAAAATATTTGTGTACTGTAGTGTATGTGCTTTGATTTCAAATCAAATGTTGCAATAATTCCTGAAGGTAAGACATATATCTGTTAGGCGGTATTTTCCCTAAGAAACCTTGTAAACTATACTGCGTGGACTTGGGTCAGTAGGTGTGCATGACATCAAAGGAAGCTTCTGCTTTCCTTTCAGGTATAGTCAAGAAAGGATAAGAGAGAAAACTAGATTTTTTTTTCACTGTTGCAATACAGTTATCTCAAAATGAATTCATGTCAGAACACTGATTTCTTAAAAATTAAAAAAAAACCCGTATTTTCAATTTATTGCCTATGACTTTGGTCAAGCAATATTCGGTCCTGCTCACTGAGGACACTGCTTTGAAAATGAGGCAACTAATGATTATTTTCTCATTCTTTGTCCAATCATTTCATACTGCAGAAGATGTTTTAGCAGTATACCTCAGAAAATGAGTCATTTTCAACTTTATTAAAACCAGCACACTACATGAAGCTATGAATGGTGAGGGGTAAAAGAAAGTAATCGATCAAACGTTTGCTAAATCCGAACTATAAATCTTGTGCAAGGTTTGAAACTACAGGAGTGTTTCCAAGCAACACAAATGTTAGTCGTTTCTAATGTTCCCTATAGCACACTTCAGTTTTTCCTGAACAAACCATTTTCAAGGTCTCAATAAATCAGTTTTAAAGAGAGGGCTGAAGGAAAAATCATGGCAGCATGCAAACTAGGAGTCACAAGAAAGAAACACAGTTACTAAGCTCCAAGGAATGTTTTCCAAAGAAAATCACTAAGGTCTATTTTTGCCCTATAACACAACCATCATCTTTTCTTTCAAAGGGGATTATGTTGGAAAAGATTGCTTTACTTACCGCTTAATATGTGGTGATTATAATCTTGTTAAACATATTAAATGCTATTTAACAATAAGTATTTTAAATATGGCAGAAGAAAGTACAAAAATTAATTTTAAAAATAGTCCTTTCAAGAATTATTTGTGCCTTAAGTTACTAAAGCTTTTAACTACTAAAGAAATAGAGTTAAAGAGACATTTACCTTATGTTCTCATAGCAACTAACTTCTGGTTTCAACCCTGCAGTGTGACGAAAAACTTTGTATATGATAAATCCAAAAGCCAAGAGATTAACCTGAGAAAATAAATCAGTTTCAAAGCAGAGATAATTTTCATAGTCAATTAGATACATATGAAGGAAGTAAATAAATACTAAAGATTTCAAATAAGATAGAAACTAGAAAATGGTGGGATTTTTATGCATATTACCAAGTAAAAACCCTCTGGTAGATTTAAGGAAGCAAATCTGTGGCTGATCTTTACGATAGCACTGAAAATTGTTAGTACAAATGGTAGTACAATTTGCCAGATCGTTTTAAACACCCTGTTCAAGAAACTTCTTCAGATGTATGGTCACGTCTACAGATTGATGAGTATCATCTGCTGCCAATTATAGGATTCATATACATATTAAGTTAAATTTTGGTTTGAAAAACTTTGTGAACATTTGAGAAATCAAATTTTTGTTCATTAAATTATATGCTGTTTCGAGGAGAAGTGTTAGCGATAATTCTGTCAACCTTTAAAAAATTAAACTGGAAAAAAGATATTCAGAGGAATTAGAAAATCCAACAAAACACCCTTCAATTTCTTTTGCTAGAAAATGTTATGAATGTACTTTCTTTTGTATGGTTCATCTAGCTATGTCTCCTAATATTTATGCTCAGATTTCCTTTCCCTATATTTAACCTTGGAAACTTTCAAAATATTAATGAAATAAATGTTTGTTTGAAGGTATATACTTTTTATTAGTAAACATTTATCATTCTATTATTTATATTTCCCATTATGGGCTGAGTACATACAATTTTCACTCCTTTTAAAATGACTGCATTATGAAAAGTTTCCCCTTTTCCTATATTTTTGGAAAACCTAAAGTCATATTTGTAGTGCCAGAAGATTAAATATTTTGAATGTATATCTATTTTAATATGAGAATACTAACAATTAAAAATATTAAATATTATAAAAATAATTTGTAGATTAAGCCTTTATTGAATTTATTTTATTAATTCAAACAGATTTTTTCCAAAGCCATTTTGTTATAATAGCAAAGTGCAATAATTTAATTTTTACCTAATTCTTACACTAGTATTTCAAAAGCTTATAGTTACAAAAAAAGTTGGTTTTTTCCTTCTGTAGTCTAAGGAGTTTCATATAGCTTCTCAAAATTTATTAATTGCTATTACAAAAAGCAGTATGAAAGAACGGGTCAGATAATTTCATGTTGTCACTTCTCCATGGAGAGGTCCTTGAGAGAAAATCTTAAAGGAATAAGGGTCTATTCCCTTCTTCCTGCTTCCAAGTGTCCATCACTTCTAATTATATGATTAATTAATTCTAACTACAGTAATTCTTCCATACACGGGAAAGACTTCAGCAATTGCAGGGGGTAGAGAAAGCAAATTAAAAGTGATTGCATTGATAGTCCCCCCCATCTTAGGCTCAAATAACTAACTGAAATGGTAATTTAATAATATTTAATTTTGTAAGGAGTCTTTACTTATGAATGAGGGATACATAGTATCTTCTAGGTTTTTATAGCTATAGCTTCTTTAAATGAATTTGGAAACAGCAATTGTACTTAATTTTGTAAATATGAGTATATATTTTTTAAATAATAAAAAGTATTAAAAGTTGGTTAGTATAAATATGTCAAACTATTATTGGTTTGAATATTTGCAAATAATTTAGAGGTATTTATATTGAATTTGTTATCTCAACGAAGAATTCTGAGATAACTTTAACCAAAACAAATTGTTCTCTAGATGCATAATTTTTCCACGTGACTGATTGTAATATTAAAGTTTCTTAAACTCTTTTCAATAAAACTCGTTTGAAAAATAGTTGCTCATGCTGCTGTGTCTTCTCAGAAGTCCATATACGTTTGGAATGCTGTTCCACATCATCAGCTAAAATGGCGAAGAGCAGCCACGGAACATTCCCTACGGGTGATACAGTTCTGGAAAGCACATTTTTCTGTACAATAGGGAAATGTTTACATACTTGTAAAAACCAGGCACTGCTGGACAAGCAGGAGACTAATTCTCACTCCATAACCTCATACTTTCTCCATTATAAGAGAAACAGATTAAAATATTTTTACCAAAAGGTGTTATGGTTTTATGGAATAAAAAAATCACAAATAGACTGATTTTATTATCCATATTCATTGGTACTAATACAAATATATTAAGCTTCTTATATGTATTCTAAACATTTTATAAAGGGTCCAAGTCTCTGGCATGGTGGTGAGGAGTGGGTACAGATTAATGAACACAACAGGCATTGTCTTCTGTTCTCATAAACTTATTAAGAAAATGTATAGTAAATAATGACATAAGTACTTAGAAATCTACAAACTGTGATAAATGCTATCAAGTCACAAATTTGGATCATTAGGATAGACAGATCAGGATAAAGTTTCAGGAGGTACTTCTCTTAGGTTTCGTATTTAGACCAAGACCCAGTAAATTCTAATGCATTAGGAGATCAAAGAATCCATGAGGCTTGAGAGAGTTGAGGACATTGCAGATCTTGAAGGAATTAGCAAAGGTACCTGGGGTGGAGTCAACAAATGGCAAGTATGAGAAGAGGTGAGTGAAGTAGACAGGGATGGGAATATTACTTGGATTTTATCTTAAATGCAAAGGATTTTAATTTATTCTTTCAGTCAAGAACACTTATGTACTTTAGGCTTTTCCTTAAGGAACTTGCAGTATAATGGAAGAGATGACCAGTCAATAGGCAAGTTAAAACGCCATTCAGTACGTGCCCAGTGACTGTTTAAAAGAAGGGTGAAAGAACATAGGTAATGACACCCTCACATGTGATTTCTAAGCCAGCCTCGAATGACCAGTAAAGCCAAAGGAGAGCAACCCAGAGAAAGTAAGTGATTACTCAGTATATCAGTGCAGACCTATCTCTGCACACTCACTTCTTAGGTGATCGGACCCAATGGCTCAAAATATTATCCTTACACCCTGATTGTTTCACTATGTCTAATAGGCATCAGGAGTTGAACATGTCAAAAATCAAGCTACTGTTCTTCTCCCCAAAGAAACCTATTTTTGCTTCAACCTTCCTCACCTCAAGAAAAAAAAACAAAAAAGCTATCTCATCCTTCTAGCAAATCAGCCTTATTCATCAGCAAACCCTTCACCTCCACCTTTAAAACATACTCAGAAGAGGACTACCACTTACTGTCTTCACAGCACCTATCCTGGGAGAGGCCACATTGTGCCTCGCCTGGGCTATCGCAAAAGCCCCTAATTGGTCTCTCTGCTTCTATCCTTGCCCTCCTACAATCTGTTCTCATTACAGCAGTCAGATGGATCCCTTTAAAAATTTAAGTCAGACCACGTCCCTATTCAGAACCCTCCGATGGCTTCCCATAGCACTCAGAGTTAAACCTAAAGATCGTACAATGCCCTCTGGGTTTGAAACGATTTGGTTCTCACTATACCTCTTCAGTCCTACTTCTCTCTCCTTTGATCATGTCTACTACGTTCACATTGGATTCTCTGTCCTTTTTCCAGCCCACCAGCATGCCTTAGGGGGGCTGTACTTGTTGGGCTCTCAGCTACTCCCAAGGCAAATTCCCTCACCACCTCTGTTTAAATGCCACCTTATCTACATACTGCCTCCCACTGTTTATTAAAAACTGAAACCCAAATGATAAAATCAGACCTGAGTTCAATTCTATGGAAATACAGACGATGCTGGTATTCTTTACTGTTTTGGACAATGCAAATTCTGTATGCAAACATGTTCTTCCCTTGGCTGAGTCATTGGAACACTGAAAAAAAAAATTCTCCTTGATCAAACTATAGTCAGCCTCAACCTTGGGCTTCAGTGTCCATCTTTGAAGAATTCAGTTTTAGCAAGAATCCTGCTAAGTCAGCTTAGACAGAATCCTACCACCCTTGATATCTGGTCACTTTCAATATCAAATTAAATTCCTCATCCCCCACCCTTGATATCTGATCACACTGGCCGGCCTTTCAGCAAGAGTACTGTTAAAGTAAATTTACCAAGAATACTCCCTACCCTCGCCCTCTGCTCTTAGTAATTTTCCATGCACTCCCTTCCCCACACCACACAAACTGATCCTTGGCTATAAATTCCCAGCTGGTTTTGTTGTAGTCCTAGCTGGGCTGAATCTCTCTCCCCTATTGCAATAGTTTTGACACCTATCACAGTAGTCCTGAAAAAAGTCTCTCTTACCATTTTAACAAGTGGCAGAATAGTTCTTTAACAAAACTCAGAGCAAATGCAATATCATAATATTCAGCAAATTCAGGGTAACTGGAAAAACTTTTATTTGCAGCTTTTACACTGCCTGTATTTATTCTCTCTTTATCTATAAATATATAAGCTACTTTAAACCCTTTTTTAAATAGAGTGAAAAACTATAAATAATCAGTATCACCCAAAGGCACATGACTTTATTTACTTAGAGGTGGGAATTAAGTTGAAACTCTGCATTTTATATGGTATGGAAAAGTATTTTCTGGAGGGGATGTTTTATGAACTAAGTACAAATAGTCTGAGATAAGATAAAAACAAAAGTTCAAAACAAGCTTATATAGAATTAAAAAGTATTTCTGATGATAAATGTTTGCACTTATTCCAGAAGTCATGACTTTGAGGCTAGAAAAATATGTGCATTTTAGGTTAAATAATTGGAAAGGTACTACTAGCATTGTGTTTGCTGGCAAGGCTACCTCGATGATAACTGACTTGAATACTTGAGCGATTCTTTCAAATACAAGAAAACTCATTAATATGAACCTTAATTAAGGAAATGGTGCCTTTAAAATGACTCACAGTTTTGCTCATTAATATTTACCTATGTGTGCCAATTTTATCAGCTATGGTTCCCTTATTATTTTTCTCTAAATATTAGTGCCACAAAAGCACAGGGGCTAATTAATGACTTGCAGATGAACAAAGTCATTCATTATCATTTTTGTTTCAATTTTTAAAAAACAGTTTTAGCTTGTAGATTAGGAGTCCTTAATACTTTTCTAGGAATAAGCAAGAAAAGAATGTTAGGGGCAAACCTAAGAACTC